CCTTCATTGAGTCTTAACTGGCTAGGTATGTTTTCCAGCATGTACAACTTTTTTCTTTCTTTTTTTAAGCTTTATTTTATTCTCATTCAAGAGAGGGAGAGAAGTATTGATTGGTTGCCTTCACAGGCACTTCGACTGAGGATCGAACCCACAATCTAGGCATGTGCGCTGACCAGGAATCGAACTGGTGATGACATTTTGGTTACAGGATGACACTCCAACCAACTGAGCCCACCAGCTGGGGCATGACTTTATTCCTTAATTGAAGAAATATAATTACAGAGACAAACACATTAATTGTGATCAGTGAAACCATGTGAACATGTTTAAATGAAAAAGTATCAAACACCCCCCCTCACCCCACCCTGTGTCAGGGGTCCCCAAGACTACCTCCCCTGCAATCCTGCTTTGAGTTTTTTGAGTATACACAGAAATGGAATTCCAGAAATGAAATTGCCGAGTCAGACAGTGATCCTATGTTTAATGCTTTGAGGAAACACCATCCTGTTTTCCACAGCAGCTGCCCCATTTCACCTTCCCACCAGCAGTGTGCCATACACGAGGGCTCTCCCCACATCCCTGCCAGCACTTGTTTTCTGGGTTTTGTTTTTACTAATAGTAATCATCCTGATGGGTGTGTGGCATTGGGTCACAGGATTTTGACCTCAAGAACCACTGTGAAATATACACCATATGTGCCCCCACTTTCTCCTCAGTTGCTTCTCAGGGAATCTGGCCCAAGCTGGCCCCCCTGTGTGCTGGCACAGTGGTCTGACTGGGAGGGGGGATGGGGCTGCCTACTTCCCTCCCCTTTGCTGGGCCTTCCTTTGCTCCTTTGAAATAAACCCCCTTTCTCAGGTTCCTTGGCTTAATTCCCAAGTGGACACCCTTTCCTGCCCATCTCTGTTAGGGAAAAAAATAGAAATTAAATTGGAAGGTGCCAAATGAGGAACCTTCAAAAAGACTTTCTGTGGCAGGGTCTCCCCCTCAGCACCACTTACGTTGGGGCCCAGTCTTTCTCTTTGTGGGGTGGGGAGGTGTTGTGGGCACCATGGGGTATTGAGCAGTATCCCTTACCCCCACCTACTTCATGCCAGGAGCACCCCCTACTTGTGACAATTACAGATGTCCTTAGACACTGCAACAGTCCTTGCAATCTAATTCAAGGCTAGGTAGGCACTCTCCTGGGGCCCAGATTTAGCTGGGGGGGGAGGGGTGCCATAACCTTGGTCATCAAAATGAATGGTATTAAAGCAATATTTTAAGAATTTAAAATGCAAAAAAATCATTGTGAACAAAATGTTGAAGTTTTTATGCTGTAGCAAAAATATCAGGTTTAGCATGCACAAAGCCAAGAAAACCAATGATGCCAGATACTGAACTTATCTCACGGTCCTTTGGACACCCAGCAAGAGTCAACTGCTGAGTGCAGGTGCCAGGCAGTGCAACAGTGTCGGAGTTTGATGTGAACACAGGGTTGGCTGAACAGAGCCGTGTCAAGCCATTTTGGAGACTGAAACAGAATGACACATGCCCCATTTATATGTGTTTTTATGTATTTTTTCTTAATGGTTAACTTTTTCCCAGAACATTAAAGTGGTTGAAAAAAATATTGAGATATTGAAAATGAATTGTATTGCCCTGGCTGGCGTAGCTCAGCGGATTGAGCACGGGCTGCAAACCAGGCATTGCAGGTTCAATTCCCAGTCAGGGCACATGCCTAGGTTGCAGGCCATGGCCCCCAGCAACCGCACATTGATGTTTCTCTCTCTCTCTCCCTCTCCTTCTCCCTCCCTTCCCTCTCTAAAAATAAATAAAATCTTAAAAAAAAACAGACTTGCTTATTCTTTAAAAAAAAAAAAAAGAAAATGAATTGTATTAAAACTTACAGTAGTTTGAGATTAAATATTCTATTTGTACCCAAACCTGTATTAGGATTTCACTTTTGTGACTTTCAAAGAAGCAAACTCAGATTTTCTGAATGTCTGTCTCCACCTCTAGATCTTATTTTTTTAAAGATTTTATTTGCCCCAGCTGATGTGGCTCAGTGGATTGAGTGCTGGCCTGCAAATCAAGGGGTCGCAGGTTTGATTCCCAGTCTAGGCAGGGCATGTGCCTGGGTTGCAGCTGGGTCCCAGTAGGGGGTGCATGAGAGGCAACCACACATTGATGTTTCCCTCCCTCCCTTCCTTCCCCTATAAAAATAAATAAAATCTTTTAAAAAAGAAAAAATAATTAGTTGCCCAAGGTGTGAGTGTATTTCTGGACTCTCGATTCTGTAACACTAGTCTGTATCTTTTGTTTTCCTAACAGTACTGTCCAATACTGTCCTGTTCAATGGTTTTGACTTTGCAGTATAGTTTGGAGAGTGTAATATCCTTGGTTATTGGTGGTACCTGATGGATTGTTTCTCTGTGCATTTGAGGCACTAAACTCTTGTTTAATTTTATATATTTTTTATTAGAGAGAGGGCAGGAAGGGAGGAAGAGGGAAACATCAGTCACTTGCCTTTTGCACTTACCCTGACCAAGGACTAAACTCAGACAGGCACCCTGACCAGGAATCAAACCGGTTACCATTTGCTTTGCAGGATGACGTCCAGTCAACTGAGCCACACGGGTCAGGGTATCTTGTTTGGGTACTGTTTTGCTCTTAGCAATTCAGCAAGTTGATAAGTAGAGGTCTCTTCTTTTCCAGTATGAGGTGCTATAGCTTGTTTGTTTTCTCTCACCTCTGCTGTCTCTACAATGTCCTGTCTCTACTGGGATCTGCTGCCTGGGTGGGCAATGGGGGATGGGTCCCAGTCTTCTACTTTGCCTCCTTGCTAGTTGTGGCCACAGCTTGCAGCACTGCTCTGCCACTCTCTGCCTGTCACAGAGTTTAGCTGCACTAGGCACTGGCTACCAGGGCCAGAATGTGGCTTCTGCCCCTCTTGTCCCCTGGCTGCTGCGTGAGGGATGCAGCTTGGCTCCTCCACTGCTACCTTGTCAGCAGGGCTGTGGCAGGTACTGGTCTGCTCTTGAGGACCTGTTTTTCTCCTTCCTTGTCCCACCTCCCCTGCTCATTCTGATGCACCACCTTCGGATGTCCCCATACGCAATCTCTCAGGCCTATCTGTGTGCAAAGCAGGGTCCTTTGTAGAGTTAAAGTTATCTGACTTTAAAGAGAGGGAAAAAGGGGTGTTCTCTCTCTGCCATGATGCTGATGGCACTCCTCAGATGTTTTTGTTACAACCATTAACCACTGCAAAAATACATAAAAACACAGGAATCAGGGCACACTTCCTTTTGCTTCAGGATGCAGTATGGTTCAGCACAGCCCTGTCTAACCTGCATGTATTACATACTGTTAACAAAAATTTAACATTAAGTACTCATTTATCTCACTTCACCATGTGTTGAACAGACATGTTCATATGTCTAAAAGAACATCACAAATATTATTATAATGGCAAGCAAGAAGAAATGTACATCCCTCACTGGTTAATAAATGTTGGTACCAGGCAGCTGTTAAAAACTGAGGATTCTGTTTTCTGAAGTGGTGTGGACTCTGGGAAATAAGCCTTAGGTGAACAAAGTATATGCAGAAAGATGTGTAGCAAATGCCACCACTTGTTTAAAATATGCAGCTGTTGCTCTGGCTGGTGTGACTCAGTTGACTGAGTGACTTGCGTCTCCTACTGGGGACGCAAGAGGCAACCACACATTGACGTTTCTCTCCCTCTCTCTAAAAATAAATAAGATCTTAAAAAATATGTATATGGCAGTTATGAATTCAGTGTGTCCCCCAATGAAATTCACGTTGAAATTCTGAGCCCCAGTGTGTGGCTGTATCTGGAGATGGAGCCCCTAAGGATGTAATGAGCTTAAATGAGATCAGAAGGGTGGGGCCCTGGTCTCCCAGAATTAGTATTGTTCTAAGAGACCAGAGAGCCCACTTGCGCTGTCTTCCTCCCTCTGCTGAGGCATCAAGGAGAGGCTTTGTGAAAGAAGACACAGTGAGAAGGCAGCTGTCTGCAAGCTAGGAATTGGGTCCTTACAGAAACCAACCCTGCCAAAACCTTGATCTCAGACTTCCACAACTGTGAGAAAATTGAAACTACCTCAGACACCTAAATTCTGTTGTTTGAGCCATCCAGTCTGTGGCATTTTGTTATGGTAGCCCACGCAGACTAATATAACAGCTATTTTCACAAATATGCTCTATCTGCATTCAGAGTTTCTAGAATTTTCAAGAACTTGGCAAGAGTTGGAGAGAAGTGGGTAGGGGCACCAGGAAGGGAATAGACTGTGCCATATCCTTATGTACTTGTTTTTGTATGCTTCATGTGATGGTCTAACGTGTCTCTAAGTTCTGATATTCCTCCTTTCAAAATACAGAGCCTAATTCTCCTTCCCTGGAGTGTGGGCTGGACTAAGAGACGTGATCCTAACAAATGGAATGTGCACTGAGAATCAAAGAGAGGGATGAGTGGGAGTTCTGAAGGTAGATCATAAAAGACATGTGGCTTCTGCCTGCTCTCTCTGGACTCACTTGCTGGGGGGGTGGGGCAGGCCAGCAGCCACACTGTGAGGACGCTCAGACGGCACTGTGGACAGGCCACGTGGAGAGAAGCTGAGGCCTCACGTGAACAGCCGTATGAGGAAGCCATCCTGGAAATGGCTCCTCCAGCCCCAGTCTCACCTTCAGATGAGGCAGCTCCAGCCAGCAGCTTGACTGCAAGGACCCCAAGCAAGGACCATCCACCTGTTACTCCAAAATGCTTGCCTACAGAAACTGAAAATAATGAATGTTTGTCATCGGGTAATTTTGTAAGGTAGCAATAGATAAACACACTTTTCAGATATTATCCATTAAACACCTTAAAATAACCAATCTCTGCCACCCATTGGGAAATTCCTAGATTTACAAAATTTTGGAGCTGAAAGGACCCCTGGGTCATCCAAGCCACCAGGTTACCAAGGTTATCAAGCCTCTAGCATCACCACATCCAGGCAGGGCAGGTTTCAGAGCAAGGTTTAATATAGTCACACATCAAAGTTATTTTCAAAAACACAGAAAGTCCCAAGTAGTGCTGTGAATCTCCTTGTGATCCATGCAGAAGGCTGGGGCTGTTCCAGACGTAGCAGGTGCTGAGATGGGAGCTGTTGGCACCTCTGGTCACCTGAAGGGGGAACATGGCAGGGTGAGCAGAAGGCTCCAGGCTCCTTCCTGTTCTTGTGGGAGAAGAGGCACTGAGTGGTGAGAAGGACACGGATGCTGCAGCGAGGTTCCAAAACCAGATGTAGCTGTGCCACGTAAGCGCTGCACGGCCAGGGTCTCATCTGTGATGTGGGGTGCAGCCATGCCCACTCTGAACTGTCATGTGGGCAGTGAGTTAATAACACAGACAATGTGGGCAGTACATTGTGGTCATGCCAGGGACTAATGGATAAGTTGGAGGGCTCATTCCTGCTCAGAGCAACCCATCCAGGGAAGACAGTGGCTGTGGGCGAACCTCCACTGTCCCCATCTGTAAACTGGGCTTTCCTCTGTTCTGCCCAGGGCTGGGCAAGCAGGGTGCATGGTCAGTCTCCAGGAGCAGTGCCCACTCCACCGTCCCACAAACTGAGGCTGCCAGCTGGCAGCTCTGTGCCGATGGGCAGGGAGGTACCTGGAGAGCTTACCCCAGAGTTCTGGCCGCAGAGAGATTCTGCAGGGTGAATAGTCCAGGCAAGCCTTCCAGCCCTGCGGCCCCAGTCCTGGAAGTGTGGGAACCCACCTTGTGGAAGCGCATAGCCTGCCAACAATCACTAAACTTACCAGTGAGGAGGGTCGGTTTAACTAGTCATCCTTCTTAAACTTGCCATTGATGTAGGGCACCCAGTCCAGAATCAGCCGCCAGTCGGTGGCCCACACTAGCCCCACGGTGCCCACGGCGCCCCACATGCCCGCTGTGGGAATCCTGTGAGAGGACAGCAGGGGTTAGGCCCTGCTGGGGCTCATCCTCCTGGTAGCACATGCTGGTCCCTCCCTCCATCCCTAGCTATGGTACTATCAGGCACCCACCATGTACTGGCCCCTTGGCCAACATGTGGGCACACCCTGCTGATGATCCTGCAGGTAGGCACAGGCAGAAGACCCTAAAGTGATGCTACTCCTATCTGCTTTCATATTGTGACCTGCCTAAGGTTTCATCGGAGGGATTTGCTACTAACACGAAAACAAACAACCCAAGCTTGTAACTGCCACAGACAACAGCTAATGCGTGCGTGCAGGCACCATATATACAGTTTACAGTGACTGGCTGACCCCTGCAACTGCCTAGAACTGAAGGAGGCATGAGTGTCAGGGTCTCTGTTTTCCAGATGAGACCTGGGAGGGAGACTGATTCACTCCCCTGAGGACACACAGTCTTATACTATAGATCTCATTTGTTTACTTTCTGTTCACTGACTAGAACATCAGCCGCCAAGGTTCCATCTATCACTGTGTCTCCGGCACTCAACAGTGCTAGGTGCTGGCACACAGCGTGTGCTCGGTAAGTGCTTGTTAATTGAAAGCCTGGTTGAGATTGTCGCTGCTCTGACCAAGCCCAGATGAGAATGGACTAACTGAGCCCGGGGAAGTCCGAGCCAACAGGCAGAGGGACTGAATGGGCGCCGGTGGAACCAGGGACAACCTTCACCGTGCAACCCTGGCCACTCTAGCTGTCAGTCACCACTATCAGTGTCCACCTGAAAGTCCCTGCCAGAGCCATTACCCAGAGGCAGCTCGCACTCCTCCCTCCCGCCTGGGTTCGCGGACACGACTACCAAATGCGTTCCCCTCTTTCTTAGCACCTCACGCTGTCACCCCAATTCCGTCAGCCTCCCACATGGGGACAGTAAAAGGTGCAGCCGTAGGCTTCACGATTCCTGTTCAAGACCATTTAAAAAGTTAAAAGCAAAGCCGGGAACATACAGGATCAGTTTTCAGGCCCGAATGGTTGAGCCAAGGGTGCTGGGCAGGGACAGGGAGGGCGCCTCCCGGGCGGGCACCGTCGCGGCCCCGTTAGAAATGGGCAAACTGAGGCTCAGAGAGGTTCGGCCAAGGAACCAGGAGCCTGAGTGTATGTGTGCCGAGCCAGACCGCTCCGCCTCTCTGTGCCTCAGTTTCTCCATCTGTGGCCCGGCACGATTTGTGGTCTGGGGGCGGCGGTGCGCGCACTGATATGGGCTGCACAACGGCGGCGCGGATCCGGGAGGGCGGGCGCGGGGTGCGGAGGGCAGAGGCCGCCACCTCACCAGTTCTTGGCCAGTTGAAGGTAGCGTGGGCCCAGAAACTTGCTCAGCATCGCGACGCAGTCCGCAGCTCAGGGTGACCCCGGTTCCGCCCGGCTGGGACGTACTACTACGTAGGCGCGCAAAGAGGCCCCGCCCCAGGTCCACAGACCACGGGAAATCTGGACCCGGCCACTGCGCGCGCAGACCCGGAACACAGTAACAGTCATTTCCGGGGCGGGGCGGATGACGTGTGGACGGGGGCGAGTGTGGGCGGACTTATAAGCACGTGACCCAAGTCTTCTAGTGCAGTCTTGTATCAGCTGTCATAGCGGCCCCAGCTGTGTGGCCACCAGTAACTAAGATCGGCCCGCGACATTTGTCTGGTGGCTTCGTGTTTTTACTATGTGCCAGAATTTCATTTACAATGGACAAAACTGAGGCCAGGAGAGGAGGAGACTTGCCCAGTGTCGCTCAAGGTGTAGGGTATGATGTAAACTCACTTCTAGGGGAGTGGAGCTGTCGTTTGTCACTGACCCTTTCTTAATGGGGTCTTGGCCAAAGGGCAGAGCTTCTCTGAACCTGTTTTCTCCTCGCGATTGTCTGTTGGAATTTTCTGCACGCTTCCTTCAGCGAGTGTGGTGCTTCCTTCTCCCGGCGGCGGAGGGCGGCCAGCTCTGGACCCCAAGGACACCCGAATCCCCTGATAGATGATGCGCTGCCCGGACTGGCCCACCCTCTCGTGGCTGACCGCCGCCCAGGCTCGCTAGGTCCCTGCGTAGGAGGCAGCAGGCCCAGAGGTAAGTCCCGGACGCTGTGGGTGTGCCGCCCAGCCTTGCCTCCTTGGATCTACTCCCAGAGCCCTCAACCCTCTGCCTGCAGAAGCTGCAGGTTTCGACATGCTCGCGGCTCCCGGCCCCGGACTGGGAGCCAGCAGAAGTATGTAGTGACTATGGTCTGGTTTCTCATTCATTTCAGTTGCTCGAGAATTTTTGAGTCTAGTAGTTTAGTATAAGATAGGACCTGAAAAAGTTTCCGTCCTTGATGGGAACTTAAAAAGTGGGCAGTAGAGGCCGTTATGATGATTGTTGAGAGAGGAGGAGAGAGCTGCCTGAAAAGGTGAGCAAACGCGGGCATGGAGGCCTGGGGCTGCAGGTCTTGGTTTCAGCGGTTCCTGAAGCCTTGCCACCATTGCTTCCTCTGCATTATGTATTCCAGCTAGAACAAAAAACGAGGGTAAAAGAAGTTTTATGGCGCATTGTATAACCTCAGAGGTGGCTGGATCCAGCAGTCTGGCGATATCACCAGGAATCTCTCAGCTTTTTCCTGTGTCACCCCCATTCTCTGGCAAACTCTTTCTGGGCAGCGTCACCCGCAAGCTCTGGGTTCATATTCCAGCAGCTCCTGCAGGAAGATGGAACCTTTTTCTCAGTAATTGCAGACGATGTCCCAAGGCTGGTTCTTATGAGCCTGCTTGGGAAACGGCAGATTTGGCTCCTCTCATATGAAGACATATGCTGCATAGGCTGAAATGGAAAGAAGAGGATCCCCAAAAGAGAATAACCAGGATTCTGTGACCAGAGGAGATGCTGGGTAGCAAGAACTGCTGGCCTCCCTCCCATTCTGCTGAACCTCTGCTGAGAGGCCTCCTGGATTCCCTGTGTGTTCCTGTCTGCCCCTCTGGGGAAAACTGAACTCCTTTTCTTGACTGATAAGAAAATTCACATAACATAAAATTATCCATTAAAACATACAGTGCAGTGGCATTTAGTGCACTCACCAGGTTGTGTAACCACCACCTCTATCTAATGCCACATTTTCATCTCTCCTAAAATAAGCCCCATCCCCATCAGCAGCCCCTCCCCAGCCCCTCCCAGCCACAAATCCACTTCCTGTCTCTGTGGACTTGCCTGTTCTGGACATTCCACACACATGGAATCACCCTGCGGCCTTGTTTACCTGGCTTCTCAGTGAGTATCATGTTTTCAGGGTTCATTCACGTCATAGCAAATGTCAGTGCTTCACTCCTTTTTCAGCTCCAGTTGACATTCAACATTGTATTAGTTTCACATGTGCAGCATAGTAGTTAGACATTTATATGACTTACAAAATGATCCCCCCATAAGTCTGGTACCCACCTGGCACCACACATCGTTATTACAGGTGCCTCACCCCTTTTCACAGCTAAAATTCTAGGGCCTGGATGGGCACACTGTGTTTGTCCATTTCATCTGTGGATTGATTCTTTTGAAATTTCTACTTTATTGACATATATTTGACATACACAAATACATATATTTAAAACACACAGGTTGGTATTAGGACATGTGCATGTCTCTGAATCCATCACCACCACTGATATGATGAATGCCTCCCCCACCCCTTCCCAGCCAGCCATCACTCATCTGCTCTCCGCTGCTATCAATTAGTTTGCATTTTCTAGACCTTTCCAGAAAGGGAATCATATAGTTTGTTCTCTTTGGTATCTGGCCTCTTCCACAGAGCGTAAGTATTCTCAGAGTCATCCAGTCGTTGTGTCTGTCATCCTTCTGTTGCTGAGTTGTATTCCTTGCTATGTGTGGACCTGTGTGTTCACTCACCCGTTGAAAGACATGCTGGTTGTTCCCAGGTTTTTCTATTACAAATGAAGCTGCAGTGGATGGTCATGTCCACATCAAATGTGTGTCTTGGTTTCTCTGGGGTGGGTGCCTGGGACTGGAGGGGCTGTCTCATAGGAAAGCATAGGTTTAACTGTTGAAGAAACTGCCAAACTTTAAAAACAAAAGATTTTATTTATTTTTAGAGAGAGGGGAAGGGAGAGAGAGAGGGAGAGAAACATTGACTGAGTTGCTTCTCCTACATGCCAATCAGGGACCAAACCTGCAACCCAGATATGTGCCCTGACCGGGAATTGAACCGACAACCTTTCACTTTGCAAGACAATGCCCAACCAACCGAGCTACACCAGTCAGAGTGTCAAACTCTTTTTTAAAAATTGATGTATAATTGACATATAACATACCACTAGTTTCAGGTGTGCCACCACTATTTCCTGAAATAGTTACACCCATCCACCAGTCACATGAGACTCCTGTGGCATTCACATGTCTTACTACTTTAAAGAGGACACTCACTATATCTCACTATATGGTTTCCCATGGCTGCCATGACAGCTGACCACTCGCCAGCCGGCATGAAACAACAGGAAAGTATGTAATCTCTCCGAGTTCTGGAACCAGAAGTTCTAGATCAAGGTGTCATAGGGCTGCGCTCCTGCCGGAAGCCCCAGGGAAAGATCCTTCCTCTTTCCCAGCTTCTGGGGGGTTCCAGTGTCCTTGGGCTTGTGGCAACATGACCGCAGTCTCTGCCTCCTTTGTTCCATGGCTTCTCTCTCTCCTGTGCCTGTGTTTGTCCTCTTCTCTCTCTTACAGGCACACTGGCATTGATTGGGGGCCCACCCAGAGAATGTAAAATGACCTCATCTCAGAGCCTGCCCTTGCTTACGTCTGCAAAGCCTATGTTCTAACGCAGGCAGTCCTCACTTCATTGTACTGCACAGACATTAGGAACTTTTTGTTTGATGGGAGTTTCCTTTTTCTTTTTAAACTGAATTATAAATACTTCCCCCATTTATCAAAGCTTAGCAAAGAACTCCCAAATTATTAAACGATCACTCTTTTTTTACTTTTATTGCATTTATTTTATGTTGAATTTACTCCTGGGCCGTAAGTTTTTGTTTCTTCAGTTTCCTCTGGGAAATCATCTTCATTGTTCAAGAATTATTCATTCACAGAGCAGACAATTTCATATTTTTTTAAACCACTATTATTTTTTAAAAGATTTTATTTTGAGAGAGAAGGGAAGGGAGGTAGAAAGGGAGAGAAACATCAATGTGTGGTTGCATCTCACACGCCCCCTATGGGGGCCTGGCTCACAACCCAGGCTTGTGCCCTGAGTGGGAATTGAACCAGTGCCCCTTTGGTTCACAGGCCAGCACTCAACCTGATAAGCCACACCAGCCAAGGCGCATTTTATATTTTAAATCCCAGGGCTCTCACGCACTCCTTGGCCTTAATTAGGTAATCTGCAGTGCTCTTCTCCTCTCAGTGATGCTCATATGATGTGCCTTCTCAGTCTCCCAGAAGACACAGCAGGGCAGAGGCTTCTCCTGCATCTCAGAAGGGGTACGTGGCCACCAGACCCGGCATCGTTTAGGCCTCGGGTGTTGCAATTTTTACAAACGGAAGACCAGACTTCCATCAGCAAAATGATTACAGCTTGCTTTATCGTGGTGGTCTAGAACTGAACCCACACATTTCCGAGGCCTACCTGTAAGGCCTTGTTCATAGGTTCCGGGTGCCACCATCACCGGCTGCTGCACTGTATGACTTCTGATGACACCCACTGTGGTGTGGAGTGGGTCTCCCCCTCTTAATCTGGCACGTCCTTTCCCTCCCTGGCCCCAGGGTGACAGGGCTGGTCCAGGAGGCCAGACTCAGCAGGTTCTCATAGGGCTGAGGCCATAAGTGGCCATCTTCTGAGAGCCAGGAGGGCTGCCCTGAGGCCTGGGCGGAGGCATGCAGCTGCCGGGAGAGCTGTGCCCTGACATCACCACTATCAGGACGGTGACACACCCATCATTTCGTTTCCCTGCCCACAGGATTTCTCTGAGCTGTCAAGCAGGCCCTCCTTCCTGAAATTTTCAGAGAGCCAACCCCTGCTGGGACAGAGGGGGTGCCTCATTTGGTGAGCATTTAGGCACCTTTTTTCCCTCACCAGAGGACATTTTTCATTGCGTTTACGACAAAAGCAAGCAGGGAGGGGGAGGACTCGGGGGTGGGAGAATGAAACATGGATGTGAGAGGGGAACACTGCCCCCTACACCCAGTTTGGTGGCCCCCACAACTCAGGCATGTGTCCCGACTGGGAATCCAACCTGCAATCCTGTGCACTGGATGATGCTCCAACTGTCACACTGGCCAAGGCTGGGCACCTTTAAGACTTTTTTTTTTTTTAAATTTTAAGACATTTTTAGAGAGGGGAAGGGAAGGAGGGAAACACCGATGTATTCATCAGTTGCCTCTCATGTGCCCCCAACTGAAGACCTGGCCTCCAACCCAGGCATGTGCCTTGATTGGGAACTGAAAAGGCAACCTTTTGGTTCACAGGCTGGCACTCAATCCACAAAGCCACATCCCCAAAGGCTAAGATGTATCTTTCTTTAAACATCTCTGTTGAGGTGTTAATTCCGACAGTACTGTTTACCCATTTAATGTGCACAATTCCATGGGGTTTGGTATACCACACCATTAATTTTTAAAATTAATAGGCAGCATCTCTGGAAGCAGCTTCTGTGGGAGCCAATCCCAGTCCCAGACCAGCAGGAGCCCCTATTTCGAGTACAGGTGCCCACGTCAGGTGGGGGTTTGGTGTTAGGAGTGGCTGTGGTTCTTTCCGGGCCAGCCAGAGGCTCTGCTGACGTAACTCTGCCCACCCCAGTCAGATCCCTGGGGTGGCTGAATTATGTGCCTCTCCCAAAGAACATGCTCCTTCCTGACCCCTATGAACCAGTGAACAGGACATTATTTGGAAAGAGGATCTTTGCAAATGTCATTAAGATGAAGTCATTCAGGAGTTGGGTGGTCCTGATGCAGTGACAAGTGTCTTTGTTACGAGGAGATTGCACAGACACACAGGATGAAGAGAAGCCACGAGAAAACAGAGGCAGGGACCAGGGTGAGGTGGCCACAAGTCCTGGAGCCTGAAGTCTCTGGAGGAAACATGGACCTGTGACACCTTAACACCTTGATCTTGGACTTCAGTCCTCCAGGATGTGAGAATTAATCCCAGTGGGTTTAAGCTGCCCACCACCACGTGTGGCGCTTCATTAGGACTGCCCCAGGACACTTGTACCCCTGAAACCTGGGCATCCTGAGGAGCCCCACACCCCCAGTACCATCTTTACAGGGCACAAGCCCAGGTCACTCAAGCTGTTCCCTCGAATTCAGGGCCAGGGGCCCCAAGTTCAGGGTGCCACCTTTTTAACTCTGCCCCTCCCCACCCCATTGCTAAGAACACAGCCACTGAGAGATCGGTGGACAGCTGAGCATTGCCATATGTCACATTTATTGCTACAGTGCTGTTATGTACAGGACGGGTCTCCATATTGACTCCAAAGGGGCTTATTTAAAATTTCGAAAGAATCCAGCCAGCTGTGTGGGCACTTGTATAAAATTACTTTTCTTAAAAAATTAAAAACAAAAAAAAAACACCCCAAAACCACCAGTTATCTTGAGGCACTCGGAGCACAATCTCTAAGTGTGGTTCCCCCTCCCCCCGTGCTACTTCTTCCCCTGCTGGGTTAGTTTCATGTTACATAAATTACTCTTTTTTAAAAACTGGTTTGAGAGAAAGGAGGAGGGAGGAAGGAAGAGAAACATTGATTAGTAGTTCCACTCATTTATGCGTTCATTGGTTGATTCTTGCATGTGCCCTGGTCAGGGATTGAACAACCTTGGCATCGAGAGATAATAATCAACTGAGCTACTCAGCCAGGGCTATACTTCAAATTATGCACACAAGACACAGTTCAAAAACCTGCAGGCCTCGGGGGGACTAGGGTCCTTGGCCCCTGCCTGTCTGGACCAAGGGGCAAAGAAAGAGAGAAACTCAGGCAGGTTCCCCAAGAGACACAAGTCCCAACAGACCAAGGGAATGATCAGGCAAGCCGATGATTTCTTACTCCCCCAATGAGTCTTGGAGGTAGGACCCTAGAGGACCCAGGTGATTATCGGGGCTCAAGAAGTTCGCCCTGGCCCCAAGCCTGGTCGTCTTGCCTGGTGCTGGCTTGTGAGGTGCTTTTGAGCTTCCCACAGGGCACTTTGCTACCTAGCCTTCAGGAGTTCTAGTCATTTGTGGGGGGAGGGTGGGGGGTGGAGTCAGGTAGCCCTGGAACTTGGGAAGTGAATTCCCCTCCCCAGCATCCCACTGGGATGTTGGTGGGATGAATGCAGCCAGGCTGGGGGTCCTTAAGGCTTCTATGGGTGGGGCAGGGGCATAAAGGTAAGGAAACCGAGACCCCAGCCAGCCTGAGCCTGCACCTGGGTGACATGTAGGGTGACCAACCGCTGCAGTTTCCCTGGAAACTGCAGGGGGTCCAAAAATACAGATGATTAGTGTAAACCTGGATAGTCCTGGGCAGCCTAGGACAAGGTGGTCCTCCTGGTCACCCATGAGACAAGTGAAACCAAAGGGGACTTGGGGAGGCCTGAGGGAGACCCACCCTCCTGCTTTTGCAGTTGGGCAGTAATTTGGGCAAATGCACAACCTGAGGGCTTTTCTGTGCATGGCAATCCTGTCCCTTCTCCCTGCTCTGTCCACACCAGGACAGCCACCTGGTGCTAGCAGTTTTCTGTGCTGGCCTCGAGCTACAGCCCTGTTGCCAGAATGCAAAGATAGGCTTGGGTTGCCAGGTCAAAGGAGTGAAGGACGAGGAGTCTGGGGAGACCCCACAGCATTGTGCTCCAGCAGTGCAATCCTCATGCCCTGGAAACTGGGTCACAATAAAGGCCCCCATTTTGGAGAGTTCTGTGGGCTCCAGGGAGAGCAGCCTTTGGGGTCCCAAGGAGGGATGTGGGACCTTCAGGCTGCTGGGAAGTGCCTGGGGAACCAGAATGACTTCTGGAGGAGGACACTTGGCCTTGTCACCTGGGATGGCTGTGCCTCGGTTGAGCCTCTGCCCCGCCTGAGAGCCTAGAGTGTCCCTCTCTGTTGGAGGGAGAGAGGATGGGGTGGACGGGCCCCCATCAGGGGAAAGCCCACCCACCACTTTACCCCAAAGCAAGAAAAAACCCCAACATCTCAAAAACCAAATGAGACCCACCCAACCCTGCTCTCCCTGTGTCCCACGGCTGGGCTCCTGGTGCAGGGGTGGGGACCTCAGGGTTACAGTGGGGCCTTTTTAATACAACTTTTAATCTGTTTGATCGTGAAATGCAATGCTCAGTTCTAGAAACAGCAGCAGAAATAGCAAGAGACATGAAACTTTTATACAAAAACATTTGTTGCTTACAAAACATATGCAAAAAAAGCTAAAAAAAAAAAAAACCCAAAATAAAAACAAAGGCATCCTCCTTGCTAATTTTCTTCTACATTAAAAAAAAAATCTCATAACTAGCATTTTTATTTTCCTTAAAAAAAAATATCAGGCATAGGCACAATTTGCTGGTGGCTTTTGAAGAACAAGCCAGTTTTTCACAGCGTCTCTCTCCAGCGAGTGATATGTTTCAACTTTCCCATGTTTTATACTTAAGGCATTTTTTTCTTTTCTGACAAAGTGTATTGTATATTTTGTTTGCTTTCCAGTTTTTACCAAAAAAAAAAAAAAAAAAGAGAGAGAGAGAGAGAAAAGAGAGGGGGGGAGGGAGGGAGAGAGAGAGAGAGAGAGAGAGAGAGAGAGAGAAAAAGAAAGCTTCTTTTGGCCAGGACTTGGGTAGCAAGGCCAAGATGCAGTTTCAGGATCCATCAGGCAAGTCCCAGGGCACAGCGGTGGCTGAGGCCTGGGGGTGGATACAGCAGGGTCCCTGGGAGGCTCCTAGACCCAGTTGTCACCTCCAGGGCTCCCATCACTTGAAGCCTCCTTAGGTTGGTGTTGGCTCAACACCGATCACAGGCGTGTGTGAGGAGGTGGACTGGCCGGCCCACACTGCGGATGGACCTGATACCTTGTGTGACCATTCCAGGTTAGACTGAGGTCGGTCAGCTTATCTCACGGCGGCGTACCTCTCACATATGACCAGCAGGGTTGTGGGCCTCGCTCAGGCCCGGGTGGGTGGCCGAAAGCACCATCTGGGGGTCTCCGACCACACCTGACACCTTCTCCTCTTCTCGTCGCTTCAAGCAGGCTGCTTTGGGGTTCAGGTTACGTTCTGGTGGCAGAGGGAGAGTACTGTGGGAGACGGTCCGCAGAGAGGGAGAACGTGAGGTGGCAGGGTGTGGGGAGTGTGGCAGAGCGCCAGAGGAAGGCGAGGGCCCCCGCATGTGTTGCTGCCTGCATTTCTTAACTTGTCCTCCCATTCCCTGAGGAGGCTGTGCAGGGCTGGGGGGTTGGAAAGAACAGGCTGGGTGACCTGGGGGATGTCAGAGTCTGAGACACAGACAGAGCCCAGGAGCTAGTGCACACCCATTTCCAGTGAAGCACCATCGGCATGCAGTCAGGAAGGGGACAGGGTGGGGACTCCTGGCCTGGGCGCCTACCTCGCACCTGCTGCTCCAGGCCCAGGATGACCTGCACGGCCTGCTGCAGGATGAGCAGTTTGGTCTGCGCCTTGTCCGACTTGAGGTGCATCTGGCACATGCGCCCCAGCTCCCGGAAGGCCTCGTTAATGTCCCGCACACGCACCCGCTCCCGCGCGTTATTGGCCATACGCCTCTCCCGGTCCCTCAGGTCTTTCTCCTCCAGGGACAGCACCTCCTCCGTACTGCTGGGTCACAGCACCAGGGCCTCTGTTAGTTATGTGCAGGGGGTGGGGGCCCCCCCCGAGCAATGGGCAGGTGGTGGGCAGGGCCAGGGTTGTGGGGAGGGCCCCTGGTGGCTGTGTGTGAGTGTGGGTGCTACAGCACAGGGGCCGGTCCGTGGCTTGCGTGTGTGGGTCGGCACCATGACATGGGTGCGTGTGCCTGGTGTATACATGCCCAGGCCCATGAAAATGTGCTCCCGGACCAGAAACTACAGACAGCGTGTTAGTGGCCCATTCTAGGCAAGGCTGTGTCATGTCCCTTGGTCAAGGCCCAACTGTCACCAGGACATTTCACAGAAATGGAGGTTGGCCTTGATTTCCATCTATCCCTTGCCCAACCCACATGCCCCAGGACTGGTCAGGAAGGCAGGGGAGGCCTGGTGCCCCTCCTGGGGTGACGACCTTCCCCATTCAGAGCAGTCACCTGCTGGGCGAGGGAGAGCTGGGCCTGCCTGCGTTGGTCAGCCAGGGTGATAGGGACTGAGGAGACTAGCTCAGCAGGCAAAGGCCTGGGGAGACCCTGGGGCTGAGGAATGGTCCAGAAAACTCAGTCCATCCCACATAGAGACAACCAGCTCATACTCTCCAAGACCCCCACACTGGACTCTGGCTGCCCAACAGCTGGGCCTGGAGTGCCCACTGTGAGTCCTGCCCAGAGGCTCCACCTTGGGACTAGGAGTTAGCCCCCTGGGCCTGGGGCTTCTGCTTTTAGGACTGCAGTGGTGGCTCCAATTTATGGATCACCGTGTGTGCTGGGCGCTGAGTTGAGCCCATCTTCCCACACAAGAATCTGGAACTGGGGCCCAGACACCTGCCCGCCCGGCCCACACCCAGCCCAGTCCCTAGTAGCTGCATGGCCATGTGGCTTTGGATAAATGACCTTACTCTGCCTGTTTCTTTTTCGGGAGGACAGAGGCTAATCGAAATCAGGACACCTGCCACTCCCAGTTGTGACGATAAAATAAAAATGAGTGAAGGCCTGAGATGTAGCATATGCCTGAGACACAGGAACCTGGACCCCTGGTGCCCTGACCTGCTCCTGTGCTGGGGGGGCTGTTGCCCTCACCCTGCCTGCTGGCCCCGGAGCCCAGGACAAGCGCGCAGACCAAACTGACAGCCTGGCCCGGAGGCTGGTGCTCCTCGGTCCCCTTTCTTCCCTCAGGTCTCCACTGGGGGGCTTTGCGGAGGAAAAGGGCCTGAGGTTGCCACCAGCCATCCAGTACTCGGGCAGCAAGTGCGAGGTAAGGAGGGGCTGCCGGTGGAAGCAGAGACGGACAGGCTGGGTGGGGGAAGAGCGCGAGAGTCAGAGAGCAGAGAGGCGGACGCGGGGACATGGCATGAAGCCCACACCGAGTGCAGATGCGGAAACCTGAGAGCTGAGGGGGACAGTGCAGGGCGGTCCAGAGCCCCAGCTCCAGTACAAGCGACAGTGCTGCAGGAGAAAAAGGGTTAACGGGTGTGCAGGATGGGGAGGAGTTAAGGAAGCAGCTGATTTGGGGGAGAAGGGGGTCACCTGGGGGAGGCTTTCAGATTCTCACTCAGCCCTGGGAAAGGGGGGTGAACCCCCTTGCGGATGGGGGTTAACGGGGTCCCACAAGGTGTCTGCTCAGAGTGACAGTGACAGCCTCTGGGACCCAAGAAACACTGGCACTTGCTGGCCAGGCTCTGGGCTTCCTGAGACAGAAGGAGTGAGCAGGGGTCCCGAGGGCCCAGGATAGCGTTCAGAGCCCAAGTGCCCAGGTCTGTAGGGCTAGGGGTCCAGAGTCTCATCCTCCCGTTCCAGAGGGGACACTGGGGCCAAGCAGAGGGCAGACGGTACAGAATGGGAGGACCGTCACTGTGGGGAGAGGGGGAGCCACTTCGGGGGAGATAATGACCAGGGAGAGCATGGTCACTGTAGGGAGATGGTCACTGAGAGGAGACCAGTCGCTGCAGGGGAGGCGGGCTCCAGGAAGGGGGAGGAGAGAGCGGGGGCGGGGGGGGGGGCAGAGGCAATGGGAGGGGAGCGGCGCCCCCACTGACCTCGCACCTGCTGCTCCAGGTTCAGGATGACCGACACGGCCTGGTGCAGGATGAGCAGTTTGGTCTGGGGCTTCTCACTGTTGAGGTGCAGCTGGCACATGCGCCCCAGCTCCTTAAAGGCCTCATTGATGTCTCGGACCCGCAGTCGCTCCCGAGCGTTATTGGCCACCCGGCGCTCCTTCTCCCGCTCAGCCTTCTGCTCTGGGGGGAGAAGGTCGTCCTCGTCCTCGTCCGGGCTATGGGGGTGGGGGGGGCCGGGGGGCCAGAGGGAGACAGTGAGGCGGGGAACAGGCGCAGGGCCCGCCGGATGCCTCGCGGTGTGAGCGCCACTGGTGTGAGCACTGTGTGCGTGTGCTTGTGTCCTGATGGGTGGGGCAGGGGCCGAGAAGGGGCTGGCACCTGGTCCGGATCCGGGGGGCCTTTAGCTCCTTTTTCTCCTCCTCGGAGTTGTCGGCCACCGACACATTCTCCTCATCCTCTTTCTCCTCCCGCTTGATCTCGCCGGTGCCTGAGGTGGCGGCCCTGTGACCAAGTCCTGAAACAGGCTGGGGGTTAGGGTACAGCCACTTTCAAGGCCACTCGACAAATCCCTTTTGACCCTCTTGTGAGGTGTACAAGCTCTCCTGGGATAGTCAGGCCTTTATTTGCAGAGTGTGTGTGGGGGGGGGGGGGGGCGGGGCACAAACCACCTGCCTTACACACAGGCACATAATTACAGACAGAGGTCTGCAATGGGAAAGGTCCGCAGGTGGACCCTTTAGAAGGAAGTATGGGGGAATTCCAATGCTGCATAGGGGCAGGGAACTATTTTATAAAATACTAAAGAGCTGTTCTCCAAGGAAATCGATAAACCTGACTGTATCATAACCGAAAATTTCTGATCACTAGGATACCAAAGAAAGTAAGATATGCCACAGGATATAAGGTACTCATCACATACAAACCAACAAAGGCTGGGTCTCCACAATATGTCAAGGACTCCTACAAATCAGTAAGAAAAGGACAGACAGCTCAGTAGGAAAACAGGCAAGGCACCAAACAGGTATTGCCTAGGCACTGAAGCAGGCACGGCTCTATGGAAATCTGCACCATTAGAGACCAATGTGAAATTCCAAATGAGGACCACTGGGCTACACGTCACACCCAGAAAGTCAGCTGAGTGGAGTGACCTGACAGTTCTAAGTACTGCCTGTGACACAGCATGGTGGTGTGACCACTCTGGGCAACAGCTGGGTGTTGTCTGGAACAGGTGGATAGACACATGTGTACCCAGAACTTCCACAACTTGGAGCCACACCTGCAAAGTTCTTGTACACATGCACCAGGAAACACATTCCAGAAAACACCTGATGAAAGCAGAGCGGAAAGCGACTTAATGTCCTAGATAGGCCCTGGGCCTGTCCTCAGCCACCTGTAGGGCGGCAGACCTGACAGTCAGCACGAGCAAGCAAACAGATGCATAAGAACATTGGCAGGATGTTGATGTCTGAAAGTCCAGAAACCATACAAACAAAATACATGGTTTCAGGGGGAAACAGTTACACTGAATTCAACTACATGGAAGAACAAAATGGCAAAATGCCAACCACAGGAAATAGTCCAGGGTTCTTCAATGAATGAACTGAAGGGGAGAGAAGGGAGGAGAGGTAGAGAACCTGCGGATAAAAGCCCAGGGTTCCTTGCTCCTCAGCACTGCGGGATGATGAGTGGCATCCCTGGCCCCACCCACTCAATGCCAGGAGCACCCTCAGTCACGAGAACCACAGATGGTTCCAGATATTGTCTGATGCCCTCTGGGTGAGACTCTGGGTGTGGAATGACAAAATTAAGGACACAAAAGCAATGACTTCTTTCTAAAAGTCAGCTAGCTTTTGGGGGTGGGAGTGGGGGCAGGATGGAAAGGGTCCCCAGGCAGGTATGAGATAGTCTGGTCTAACTGGAGTTGCATGGTGGATTCCCAGGGTGCTTGGTAAATTAAGCAGCCTTGTCACGTACCAACATCACATTATTGTCACCTGATGTAGTGATTTTTCACAAGGTTGATGTAGGGGTGGGTAGGTGGAGGCCAGGCTCAACCACTGCCTGCTGGGGAGTCCCTGGGCCCTCTCTGGGCCTCAGCCTCCCTTGCTGTATGTAGCAGGGTTGGCATTAACTGATCTGGGGACTGGCCATGATAAGACCCAGGACCATGATCCCTGGTGTGTGCTTGTGAGCCCTGCCACAAGACCACCTGCCAAGTAAGTGGACAGCTGTCCTGCTCACCAATGGCCTCCCCCTGCTGATCCCAACACCTTCAAACATGTCACCTCAGTCTTTAAAGAAACCCTCTTGACCTCACCCTCTCCCACTCCTGCTTCCTGGACAGTAACGTCTCAGCATTCCACTGGCATTGCCCCTGCCCAGGTCATTGTGACCCCCAGTCAGTGTAGCCTGGGTCCTCACTTTGGCATCTGACACAGTCCCTCCGCCTTCAGCCCCCACAGCTGCCTGTCCCAGTCTGGCCTATTGTTCAGGCCTGGACTCGGTTCTGTCCGTGCACTGCCTAGTGCCCCACCCAGGCTCCTTTGCCTCTGAAGTCCAACAAATGTGATGACACTCAGGCCTCACTGTGAACTCCAGGCTCAAATCTCATCATCACCTCCACATCAGCAGGTGCTGTGGGCTCTGCCTTCAGAATGTCCAAAACCCACCCACTGTGCCCTGGCCAGGCCCAGCATCTGCCCTCACTACCCATCCGGGACCAGAGGGTACCATCTGCCCTGGTCCCCGGCTCCCACTGTCGTCCCTATACAGCAGCAGCCATCAAAGGGCACCAGCAAGCAGCCGGGTCAGGTCCTGCTTTTGCCTTTCCCTAGCTTGTCCTCCCCAAAGCCACTAGATGGTACCTGGTCCTGGTCCTGTCCCTCCTCTGCCCGTAATTCTTCAGGGATCCAACCTTCCTCAGGGTAAAAGTCCAACACTTCTGTGTGGCCTACAGGCCTTGCATGACTTTCCCCTACCTGCCCTCACCTTCTCCCCTCACTCACTCTGCTCCAGGCCTGGTCCTGTCCGAGGACCTTTGCATGGGGTCCCCTCTCCTTCTAATGTTGCTTCTCCCTGGCTCTGCTCGCATGTTACAATCCTTTAATTCCAAATATCTTTAAGACTACAATCCCTCTGCATCCCCTTCCCTCCCTACTTTCTCACACCTGTCCCCGCCCCCCAGTGGGAGGGTGGTGCTTTCTCTGCTGGATTCCATGGAGCCTGGAGAACCACCAGGCACACACGTGGGACTGCACACACTCTGCTGGGTGAGTTCAATTCACTGAACTGTTGGACGACTGAATAAAACACAGGAGCCCGGATGGCTACACCACCACCTGCACCAATGCCAAGACTGGAGGCTGCCAGCTCCACTTTGCTTCTGGAAAGAGATGACTGGTGACTTTGCCAGCCTCTCTAAGACTCTAGGTGCCTGTGACAGTAACCACACCTGCCTGGCCACCACCCATGCTTGTAGGGCTTCCCCAGTTCCCACTGTGCCTCAGTTTCCTCAACTGGAACGGAGAGGGGTCTGTCCCAAGCCCCATCCTATTAGTGAGTAAACAGCCCACCCTGGCCGTTCTACTGTGTCACAAGCCCGGTTGTTCCTGTTTTCCAGAAGAAGTGGTGCCCAGTGACCGAGCCCCAGAGGAGGGGCCAGAGCACAGGTGACTTGGAGGTGCTGGCCACTCTGCCCAGGCACGGTACTGGCACTTACCACTGTAGGAGTCGGGAGGGCGAGAGAGGTCAGGGAGGGTGCTGGGCTGGCTGGGAAGGACCACATGGTTGTGCATGAGGCTGCCATTGCCGGGGAGGCTGTCCTCCGAGTGGCTGCCTCCAACCTAGGGACCAGTAGTGAAGAGTCAGGGCTGGCAGGGATCCCACTACCCACCCCCCGGGTCCCTCCCTTGCCCAGAACTCACCAAGCTGGTGTGCCGTCCACCCAGCGGCATGACAGGACTGGCAAAGCCCGAAGCCAGTGTTCCGTGGCTAGGCAGTAGCCCATGCATGTCGCCTGAGGTACCCACGGCATGGCTGCGGAGCACATGGATGGCCTCGTCCAGGTGGTCTTCCATCTTGTTCTGCTGTAGGGGTGGTGGTGGGGTGAGTGGCCTGGCTGCCAGGACCCCCACCTAGCCCTATGTGACCTGGCCTGAAACATGTGCCTGCACTGGCCACGGACACAGTGCTGGACCTTATTCCCAACAAATTAATGATGAAGTTCATTCTTGTCAAAGGAGTATCTGTGCTGTAAAGAAAATCCTGCTGGTCACGTGAGATCTAATGGCTTTCTTATGGGACTCATTTTCAAAGTCACATGAAATGCAGCCACAGTGGATATGCTGAGCCACCCCCATCAGCTGCCTCTTGTGCCCTGGGAACCAGCATCTCCGTGCCTGTCCACACGCACCCCATGTCTGTCTATAAGCACCTCCACCCCTTCCCCTCACCAGCCACATAGGAAGCTCACCAGGTTGTGGAGACCCCCGTCGTAACTAGGGGATAAGGCACCAGGGGCTCCTGCTCGGGGCCACTGTGACGTCCCTGGAAAAGGTAGGAGACACATGAATGGAGAACTTAGAGAGCTGTTAGTGGAGCCTGATCCAGAGAGGGAGGGAGGGAGGGAGGGAGGGAGGGAGGGAGAACGGAATCTCGAAGGCAGGGTTGAGGAAGCTGAGTGGTCTGATACCCAGACTGGCCACACGGGGGCGCCCGCATCCACAAGAGCTGTTGCAGAGCGGTGAAGCCAACTAGGTCCAGGCAGATTCACTTCTCCCAAGCCTCAGTTTCCCACGCACAATCAACAACCCCTTTTTCCCCACACGGAAGATTGCTGGCTCAGAGGCACACAGTAGGTGCCCTAAAAGCCAGCTCCTCCTAGTCCTGCTCCACTACACAGGTCTTCCAAAAATCTCTGCTCTCACTACTCTTTGCAGGGAACAGAGAAAGGAGGAATAGGAGGACCTGGTCCCTTTGGCACAGCAAGCACAGGGCATACATTGGGGCCTAACTACTAGCTGCCAGGGGACAAACACCAATATGTGCACGTTCTGGAGTGCAGGTGAGAGCCTCAGGTCCACTGCTCTGATTCAGGCATCTCCGCCCTGGCTCTGTTGAATCTCTCATGCCCCTCACACTCACTAGCATAGACCTGGTGGATCCTGCCTCCCGGCCTTGGCCGTGCTGTGTGGCCTAAGATTCCTGGCTTAGAGACCTCCTCCTGGAAGCCTTGCTGGATGCCCACAGGAACATAAACTCCAAGGCCGGTGGTCTGTGCAGTTCCCCAACCCATGATGCAGCCTGACTCCTTCTCACCCACCCGCTCCAGACTGGAGGCAGTGGACACAGCGCGCCCAGCGCACCCCGTCAGCACCCAGTACAGACCTGCCAGACCCTGTGGGGAGCCCACGGGGGTGGAGGGGCTAGACGAGAAGTTATTGCTTGAGTGATCCGGAGAGTAGATCTGAAATGGGGATGAGGAGAGACAGGACCACCAGGCAAGCCGGTCAGGGGCTGGCCTCACAGTCACTGGCCCAAACATCCCTGTTACACCCACCCGTCCCACCTAACCCCTGCCTTGAGCCTTACCGAGGCCAGTGCCTTCCCAAGGGCGTCCCCAGAACTGCCAGCTGTAGTCCCTCGAGAGCCTGTGGGTGTACAGAGGTGAGACCCAACCTCAAGGATTAGGCACCCCCACTACACTACTTGAGCTTGGCTTGGATGCTGCAGCTGACAGGGATCTCTCTTCTGTACTTAGCTTCTGGGCATGGATACCCAAGCTCAGGTCTGGGCAGACCCCAGTTTTGGTCTGATTTCTGCCTGATATCTCACCACCTGCTTCTATGGAGGTTCTGGAAACAGGCAGGCCGTGGTCCCTGAAGTGAGAGATCCCCTCTCTGAGTCAGTTTTCCTAGAGGTTAAGTGGGGGAATTCACTCCTCAAAAAGTCATTTTTCTTTTTTTGTGGGGCTTAAAATTAACGCATCACTAAAAAGCACAGCAACAATAGCACAAAAGGCAGGAAGGGGTTAAATGGAAAGTGTTTCAAGGTGATAAGCCATTTTCAAACATTAGAAACTTGGAGGAGGAGCCTGAGCTAATCCCAGGAGAGGGAGGATGTTGTTAATAACAAGGGCATATGAGGGCGGGGTGAGAGGGGCCATACCCATGAGGCTGTCGGCCCCACTGACGGGGGGCGTGTGGCTGGCAATACTGCCATAGGCAGCGGTGGGGGCCGAGAAAGTGGACACAGCCGGGAGCCCACCATTCACCTCCACACTGTGCAGTTGGTAGCCCTGTGGTGGGATGGGGTGGGAGGAGGTCAGATGCGGTCAAAGGGAGTCAGAAAGGGTGCTACCCAAATGCACGCCCCCACTCCATCCCAAGGGGCCTACCATGCGCTCGTGCTGGTGCAGGCCACCAAACCCACTGCCACTACCACTGCCCACAGAGCTGCCGCCACCCGGCGGGAGGGGCAGTGGGGATGAGCCCCCACCCAGCATAGGCCCGAAGCCCGCCTGGCCTGGGGGGCTCCAGAGCTCGGCCGAGGGGTGCAGGCTGCCATCTGTAGAGAGGAGGGGATAGTGAGGTAGACGGGCAGAGGGACCTGGGCCCTGTCCTAGCCGTCTCGGGTGAGCTCCCACATACCTGCCATGTAGAAGGGGGCCGGGTAGGTGCTGCTGGGGGTCTTGGCAGACGGGTAGGGGGTGGCATCCCTGCCGTAGTCATCACCTGAGCTGGGTGGGTACACCTGTGGGCAGGTAGGCGGGCATGGACAAGAAGGGCAGGACTAACCTATCCCCACCCCTTGGCTCGCCCCTTCCCCAGTCCTGCCCTCCACTTGGACAGCAGTCTGACCCACAAGCCCCTTTTCCAGAGGTGGGCTTCTTGCAGAGAATTCCTTTTCCCTCTTTAATCCAACAAACTCCTTTTGATCCATTAAAGCCCAGCCCTTCTTCCTTCCTTGTTTCCCCAGTGCTGGAACTTCCCTTGGCCTCAGCCTTAATCATACAAGACCCAGGGGCCTCAGAGACAGGGCCCTAGACTAACATACCACCCGGGGTGTCCCAGAGCAGGGAGATAGCAAAGGTCTTCTAGGATCGGTGCCAACTCTGAGCAGTGAGCACTGCCTGAAACTAAGGCGGGGCCCAGGAGAAAGTGCTGGGATCAACTGATAACGTCTGCCCGAGCCCTGGAGTAGAGTAAGGCACACAGAGTGCTGGCATGGTGAGGTGGGCCCAAGGGTCTCTCTGCTCTAAGAACTGGGGTGGAGATGTAGGTGCAAAAAACTGGGGAGTCAATGACATCAGGAATCAAGTCTGAAAACCGCCTGAGCCTGACTGTACCGCCTGCTGTGGAATGTCAACCTCTGACACTAACCCTGAGCCTGTGGCCTCAGTTTACCTGTGGGGGCTCTGTTTGACCTCTAGGCCCACAGGCTCCTGGAGGCCAGCACAGAGCCAACCCAAGGAAACAGGCAAAATGCCTTTTCTTCCCGTGGTTAAAGCATGAATGGCCCAGCACCATCTGCTGGGCCTGGTACCTGCCAATCTGCAGGCAGAGGGTGGGGACACAGGCAGGCTTGAACCTGGGTGGACAGAGTGGAGGGGAGGGACCTCCAAACTGGCCCACAGGTGTCCACAGCTGCTCCACCCACAGGACCCCATCCACACCCTTTCTATGGCACCACAGGACACGATCTCTTAAAGTAGGAGGGTTGGGACTAGACTCTAGGAAGAACTTTCCAAACTCCCTGAGATGGTCTCTGGTCAGAGCTGAGGCCTCAGGGCAAAAGTCCAGCTGACTGGCCAGTCTAGCTGCGGGGTTTTGGTCGAACACCTATGTGCCCATACTCAGGAGGCCACACGTTCCCAGCTACAGCAGCACACACAGTCCAGCCCCCCCGCCCCATGCCCCGACACACTGCGTGGCCTCTGATTCACCCCACCACTCACCGAGGATGGAAGACCTGGCGGTACTTTCCGGACTTTCTTGGGCTGCGTGTCTGTTTGGAGTAAAAGGAGTGAGCCACCCCCATCCAGCCAGGGTTACACAGGAATCCTTCCAGACCCTGGGGTATGTCTATCACCGGGGGTGTCAGGAGACAGCCACCCCTATACTTCACAGAAGAGGCCCCTGAGCTTCCCTGTTAATGGAATTATTTAAACAAGGGCTTGGGTCCTCACGCTGAGATCTGACAACATGCAAGAACCACGGGGTGGGCGGTCTGCGGCAGGGAGTCCGGAAAGTGGGGAGGAAAGGGGGACTTCAGCCACAGCCCTGATCCAAAGCCCTCCACTCCGCACACCCCAACCCCCACAGCTGATTCTCTATTCACAGATCCCAGACTCGCAAACCTGCCAAAGTCAGCTCCCCCAAGTCACACACACGGTGTGCTAGGGAAACCTGGGCAGCTACCATGCATGTGCCCGCTGAGGGGGCCCAGGCGGCACTCTGCCTTCCAATTCCAGCTCAGACTGCAAATCAGGGTCCCTTTCTGTCTATTGAGAACCTTGATTTTCATGTTTTGTGATTTTGCTGCTTGAAACACTCCCTATGGGTGTGTGGTGCCATGGTGCTGGCTACTGTCCCCTGGGTGCAAAAACTACCGGGATGTGAAAAGTATGTGTTAGATCAGCCACAGTCAAGCCCGACATGGGTGAGTTCTGTTAATGAATCTATGATATATGTGAAATAAGGTGTCTTTAGACAGAAAGACACTTGACACAAAGTTAGGTGTTGATCAGCTGTGACTAGAGGCTGCCAGGAACCTACCCTTGCACTTCTGCAGAACATCAGTGTTCATGGTGACTTCATAGGACAAAACGTCTACAAATAACAAGAATCCACTGTTTCCTTCTAGGTTCACTACCCATCCCTTTATCTATCCGATCTCCCAGTCTGTCCAGGGCCTGAGAGGCACACAGTGGGGCTGATCCCTTTCATGTCCTTCACCCCTGGGCCCATCAACCCTGACAGTGGACTCACTCACCCAGGCCGCTGTCCGCGGCTCTCCGCCGAGCATGACTGGGGTAGGAAGAGTAATACTGAGATCCGCTCTTGACGCCTGAGGGGGACAGTGGCCCAGGGCTGCTGAGGGCCAGCTCGCTGGGCAGGAAGCCAGCCTGGGGAGGGGAGGGGAAGTCATCACCAGGGGCTGGGCTGGTATCCAGCACCCAGCCTGGCCATCCAAGGGGTTACCCTGGCCACCCTGCCTGAGGCACCTCTCAGCTGACACCTGTCATGCAGCAACTGTATCCTGCAGCATGATTCTTAAGAAAAACAGTCTGATGAAACCCCCCCACCCTCCCGTTCTGGGATGCAGAACACACAAACGTGTGCATCTGTCTAGGTGTCAGCAACCTCTGGTTGTTTTAATTTGTGTCTTTTTTCTTACAGTAGACAATTTACTTTTTTTTTTTTTAAGATTTTATTCATTTATTTTTAGAGAGGGAAGGGAGGGAGAAAGAGAGAGAGAGAAACATCAATGTGCGGTTGCTGGGGGCCGTGGCCTGCAACTCAGGCATGTGCCCTGACTGGGAATTGAACCTGCGATGCTTTGGTTCGCAGCCCGCACTCAATCCATTGAGTTACGCCAGCCAGGGCTAATTTACTTCTTCATAATTAATTCAAAATGGGCTTTATTCCCTTGGGAGCACTAGTGACTGGGGTTCAAGGCTCCATGGAAGTGGATGCTCTATGCCTGATCTTTCCCATCTGTAAAATGGGTGTGTTGGCTGAGGGGGTGTCCTTATGAGCTCTGTCCTTGGCACAGGGTCTGGTGCCCAGTTGGTGCTCTGCTGCCACTCTGGCTCATGTTTGATGTGCACACAGGTGGTCACCTATGTCACCTTGTCACTTGGGGCAAGGCCTAGCTGCAGCCTGAGATTCAGTAGGCACAGCACAAAACAGGAATGAAACCCTCAGGTATGGCAGGGAGGATGCCCAAATGGCGACTAGGACAAGAGGCCACACGTGACCACTGTGGCCAGCCAGTGTTGTCAGCCTTACAGCTGGGTGAGTGTACAGGTTTGCCTGGGGACCAGTGGGTGGGGTGAGCTCTCTGGGAAGAGCAAGGGGCAGGGGACCAAGGCTGCTGGGATAGCTTCGATTTCTCTGCATGCTGGTGTCTCTCTGAGCGTCTCCAGCTGTGTACAGTGGCCCCCAGGTGGGGGGCCATGAGGCTGTGACCTCCCCTGCCTTTGTCCACTCATGGCCAGCAAAGCCTGCCCCTGGACCCTGTGCTATTTCAGCTGCTGCTGGAAGAATGATCAGGACTTGGCTCAGCCAGGGAACCCTTCCACATATCAAGGAAGGAAACTGACCAATCTGTTTAAAATTTAAACCGCTGCCCTGGCCAGGTAGCTTGGTTAGAGCATTGTCTCAATATACTAAGGTTTGATCCCAGGTCAGGGCACATGCGAGAATCAACCCATGAATGCGTAAGTAAGTGGAACAACAAATCAATGTTTCTCTCTCTCTCCCCTTTCTTCTCTCTCTAAAGTCAATACATAAATTTTTTAAAAATTACAAATTTAAAAGGTAGGTAAGAAAGGGATGGGTGGAACAGTGACTGCAGCTTCCATTGCACCCTCTCCAGCCCCTGGCCAGTCCCTGTCCACTTGCAATGACACTCCAGTGTGAAAATTGGGGTCACACATATCCCATTCTCTGGGTTCTGCAGACATCTGGGTGCCAATGGGCCCCAGCAGTCCCCACCCTACACACAGCCTCACCTGAGTCAAGCCCCCAACACCTGCGTCTCTCCCAAAGGCAGTATACGTGCTCCGCTCACCGCCCTTGCCTGGGGGGAAGAAAAGAGGGTCACTCAGGGCTGACCCCAGGGAGGTGGCATCCCCAGCACCTGGCATGTGCCTGCGTACAGCAGAGGCTCCACAAGTACACAACATTAAGAAAACCAGGTAAGATACTGGTCTCCCCATTGGCCTGGCAGACAAGCAGGGGTCCAGGCAGACATCATTCCCTCCCTCATTACCCACAGGGGCATATACAAGTCCACCAAGACCCCCTACACATCCTATTCTGAGGTATGATAGTGCCAAGTTCAGTGACCCCTGCCCTCTGAATTTCATATCCTCCATTCAAGGTCATGAGATGTTGACTCCCCAGGGGTCAGGCTGGAGGCAGGGGTACCTTGAGTTGTCGAGGTTCAGAACCCAGGCCCCTGCCAGGGGTTAGTTCACAAACCAGCATGTGATTTGGTGAGAAGGGGCCCCTCCTATGTGAGCAGGTGACACCTTGAACTGTGGGGACACACCCTGCCTGACAACCACCAGTGTGGACAGACTCTTGCTGCTCTACAGATACCTGGATTCAGCCTTGCCTGAAGCAAGTACCTGAATCAATCAATAGCTGAGACATTTAATTGGTTTACACTGGGTGCCAATCTCAATGTGAGGGAGGAATCAGAACACTCAGCTGACTAATTTGCATTATTCTCTAGCTAGGGGGAAAATCTCCCGTTTTCTTTATTTTAAAAGTGCAATTCTGACTAGGCTCCTAAAGGAAAGGCTGCTGGGGGCAGGGAGAGGGACCATACCCATACCCGGCACCCCTCAGGGCAGGTGACACTGGGTCCTCTTAGGGATGAGCAAACTGAGACCCAGAGGTTAGAGGGGTTCACCCTCAGTCCAGTGAGTAAATGGGGGTAACACCAGCACTTCCTTCCTCTCAGGGAGGTGCTGAGAGCAAAGCTGGAAGGCCCCGCCGGGGCTCGGGGCTCTGCCTAGGGAAGCAGCTTCACCTCCCAGACTCAGCTCTCCCTGCTAGACAGGTCTGCCCTGGTTTAGGTCCTGCATATGGCAGGTGTCAAATATGGGTTTCCAAAGGGTGAGAGAGGCAAGGAGAAGCTGGGGCTCTAGGAGAGGACCATGCTAAGGCCATGAGCCTCACCAGGCACCTAATCCATGTACTGGATCTGCATACCAGTATATGAGGGTGGGAGGAGGACAAACAGCAGAGAATAAAATTACCAGAGTCTCATCAGGAGCAGACTAGGCTGGGGCCACCTGGGAACAGACTGGCCCTACCCCTTGGGGAGTGGATGTCCTAGCCCACACACCCACTCCCCCAGGGCCCTTACTGCCTGTTACCCTGCCATGTGTGTCACCAAGCCTGTCAGCCATACCAGCCCTACCAGCCCCATCCATGGCTGAGAAACAGGACCAGGGATACCAAGGCTGCACCCACCTCCCCACCAGGCTTGGTGTGGGTTCTAAGCTGCACTTGCTGAGCTCCTTGGCCACAGGGCATGTGGTGGACCTGGGACACAGCTAGCTCTGGACCCTGCTGACCAGGCTGAGCGTGGGAACTGCCTGTGCCAGGAAGAGGCGGGAGGAACAGCAGAGGGGAACAGCTGCAGGTGTAGAGGCCAGCAGAGGCCACCAGAAGCCACATGGGCTAAGCCTTACTTCCTGGTCTGGGAAATGGGCACAGACTCTTGCCACATGAAGTGGGTGCATGGATGCCATCCCCTGCCATGATTCCTCTCTGGTCACACATGTCCGTCCAGCCCTACCGTGTACCCAGTCCTGGGCCTGGCAAGTGACAAATGACCTGTGGGATCTGGAAGGTACTGTCCCCTCAGGGTTCAGCTCAAAGGCCTTTGGGCTCAGTTTCCCCACTGACTGGTCACTCATGCCAAGGGTCCCAGTCTACACACCCACTTTCCCAGCAGCCACCTTGGCCTACAAACCACTAATGGCAGTGCTGAGATGAGCAGATCCCACCCAGCTTTAACTGGAAAGACACCACCTCAGGACTCAGGCAGTGAACTAAAATGAAAACCCCACCTATAGCCCCAGCTCTGAGGTAGGAAACTGATGCAGGACAATAGCATATGACCCTCTGCCCCAGAGACGCCAGCTCTGCAGAACTGGAAAGGGGGTGCCAAGGCTCAGCAGGGCTCCTCCCATGGTCCTCTGGTGGGAGGATGGTACACAGAACAACCATCAAATCGCTGACAGTCCCAGTGGACGGAAACTTGGCCAGCCCCTGACCAGCCATAGACACCTGGACAGGTCCCTTCCTGCTTGGCCTCTGTTTGGTCATCTCCAGGATGGGCGGCAGGCAGGGTTGCCTGTGGGACCTGGCACTCTGGGTAAGACCTCACTGCCTGCTGCAATGAAGCTTCTGTGAGCATCCCTGTATCAAAGGTGGAGAAACCAATGCAAGAAAGGGGACAACCTCAACCTGGCCCGGTGGGTGAAACTTGAGCTCAGGCCTGCCGAGTCCTGATTCTCACGGTCGGGGAGAGCAGGCTACGATGGCCTGAGTCACCAGGATGCCCAAGTCTACTTCCTGGTGGGGACTTGGCCAGCCCCTACAGACTTGAGGGCCACACTCACCCGTACCCTCTGTTCCAAGTGATTGTCCAAAAGTGTTGCTGCTGAGTGTGCTGACCACACCCCAGAGTCCCCACTTGGGGGTTGGGGAAGGGGCTGTGCTCCAAGAACACTCACCTCCAAGCCCTGGTCCCAGGAATGTGGACGAAGAGAGGCTGCCATGGGACTCACTGAAGTGGGTGCCTTCGCTGTATGTCTGCTGAAAAATGGGTGGGGATGAGAGGTGCTGGGGCACGCTGTTTACAGGCAGGGAAACAGGTGAGCTTCTGAGTGCTCAAGTCATGACTTTAACCCATATCTCTAAGCCCAAAGTCCCTGAAGACCAAGTAGGCACCTGACTTCGCCCTCTGAGCCTTAGTTTCCCCATAAGCTCCCCTCCCCTGGAAAAGGGAAATGCAGGGTCTCAGGCCCAGCAGCAGCTCCTCACCCGGCTGGGGTCGAAGGAGCTGTTCTGGTCACCAGTGGCCCAGGAGCCTGGGCTGGGTCGGTCCTCCAGACCTGCAGGACAGGAAGAGAGAGAGGGTCACCCTCATCCCTGCCCACCCAGCTCTAAAGGCAGTTCCCCACCACCTCAGGGGGGAGCCCTTACTTGATTCTGCATGCTTTCTGGACCTATACCTACTTAGATGCACCCACCTCCAGCTCTGCCCACACGGATAGCACTGTCAGTGGCAAGTGTACCAGACACCCTGGCACTTAGCATACTTCTAGGCCTGCAGCTCAGTAAAAAATTCCACCAGCTACCACTGCTGGCAAACTCCTACCCATTCATCAAAACCTTATTCACCATGCCTATCCTGGGCAGACCCCTCACTTAAACTGAGCCTCCTTCCCCAAGCCCCAGGCCCCTCTCTCTGGCCCAGCCCTGACCACAAGGGCTGGGGCACCTGTATCAGGTTCTGTCTCTCTTGACCCTGCAAGAAAGGCTCACAAGGGCACAGGCAAGTGATTGGCTTAGATCTTGGGAACGTACAAATCTCCCCTTGCCCATCTCTGCCAGTTCAGGATGTGGGCCATCCCCTTGTTTAAATAATAGCGGCGGCTTCCACTGACTACCCAGCAGGCACAGGCTGGCAGCCTCTCCTGGGTGGAACCAAATCCACATTAGGAACAAACCAAGGCTCCTGCCACTGGCCTGCCAGGCTGGGAGGCCAGAGGCCCAAGGTGTAACCTGGGTTAACCAGCATGGGGAGAGGACCCTGGTCTCAAGGGGCAGGGCAGGGTGGGGCCTTATCTCCCTGGACACTCTCCCAGGAACCAGGCACCCACCCAGAACTTGAAATCTTCCCCATGGGGCAGAAGCCTGGGCCTACATCCATCCTGGGTCAGAGCGCCCACCCCATCCATCAGGGCCCACAGAGCACAAGGCCTGGACACGCAGAAGGGGTGCATGCCCAGGCCCCTCCCTATCTGCACTTCCGTTTCCCTCCATAACCATCTGGGGTTATGAATAGGCCCACTTGGCAGAACTGGGGAGGAGGGGACCTGGGGTAAGGGGGCACCGGTACCAGCACAACCTCACTTCCACCATACTTCCAACTCAACATGCTGGCGTTCCCATGAACCCATCCCAAACCCTATACTGTGTCTCCTGCCCTCCCCTGCTCACCTGTACCAAAATTTCCTTCAAATTGTATCCTTCTGTTTCAGTGGCATTGTGTTAATCATTCTCCCCAAAGAACTGGTGTTTAATTGCTGTCTAATTTGCATGATTATGTATACCAATCTCCCATCCTGATGAATATTCATGAATCTCATTTAGATTTTTGTTTTCTAATAAAAAACTTTCAATGTGATTACAGTGGGGGCTTGGTGGGGGGTGGGGGTCTCCAGGAATCCATTCATTCTGTGGCCTACCAGATTTGGAAGTATTTGTACCAAAAGGTCCTGAACCCCAACTTGGGCTATGGGGAAGGAGAGCTGCTAGGGAGGCAGGGGTGACCTTGGGTAAAGTGCTACCACCCCTGGAGCCTCAGTTTCCCTCTGTGGGTATTTGCCTTTGTCCCTTCCCCTTCTGGAACAGCCCTCATTCCCTAAGGCCTGGCAGTGGTGAAGGGTACTCCTGGGGCCCAGGGACTCACCCATCACATGGGCCCTGTGAATGCCTAGCAAAGGACCTTTCTGGAAAAAGCCCTCTCCCCAGCCCCCATATTTCCTTCTATTAATGACAAAAATAGGGACAGCCTTTCCCTCCCTCATTACTTTCATTAATGGTTATTAACACCCCCACCGATTAAGGTATGCATTTAAATAACCCATTCCTTCTCGTTCATGTTCTAATTGAAACATACCAATAGAACAAGACATTGCTGTCAAAGTGTAGTTTTTGTTTTTTTTTTAATGATTTATCTCTTTCTAAAAAAACTGCTGGATATGACATGCTGGTGTGGCAGGTGGGCGGGGAGTTGGTGCCTGGGAAAATCTGTGCACTCAGATCCAGTTCAGCTGCCTCAGGAAGAGGGAGATGCTGATGGAGCAGAGCGCATGCGGGACCTAAGGGTGCTGCCCATGCCCCAAGCTCCAGTCCCAGTTCGAGTCGGCTGGGGGTGATGGCGCTGCTCACTAGCCAAGGTGGCTTTAGGATGACAAAGACTGCTGTGGAGTGGGTGGCACAGTTGGTGTCTGGTGGAGAGGTAACTCCGCCATGTGACTGAGGGCTGCACCTTGCCTGATGAACTGGGGGAGTGGCCTCTGAAAGACGCTCAGCGTGGCTGGGACCATATGGCCTGTGTCCTGTGCAGGATTCCTCTGCAGCAGGATCAGCAAACCAGGGCCCTTAGACCAAGTCTGGCCCCCAACTGCTTTTATAAATAAAGTTCTATTAGCACATGGACACACTTTTGACCCCCATAAGCTGCTGTCTACAGCAGCTTATGCTACAAAATCACAAAGTGTATTAGTTACAATAGAGCCTGCCCAGCCTCCACACATGCACTGCCTCGCCTTTTGTGGGGATCCACTGGCCCTAGTGAGTAGAAAGATTTCAGGAGCTGGCTCCTTTGTATGAAGAAGCCCGACCACCAGGATTCGGTACCATCAGAATTTGGTACCAGGAGCAAGCAGGATTACCATGTGGGATGGGCAAAACCCAGATAGTCATGGTACCTTGTCCACTGTTCCTACCCCAAGCCTCCACAAGTACAACCAGGTGGTTGTCAGCTTAGCCTGGGGGTTTCATTCTTCAGTCCAGTTCTGCAAGCACCCCCTTACCAGGGAGCTGGGTCCCCTCTCTGTCCCTCATTGCTGCCTCTGACCCTCTGACTGGCACCAGCTGCACCCCTACAGCAGTGCCCTCCCAGGTACCCTGACCACACTCCACCCCAGGCAGTTCCAACAGAGCTTTCAGAAGCAAAACTTGGCTCTCCCCTCCCTCTAATTCTTGCCATGGCTCTCCACTGCCCTCAGGGCAGAGATCAGGCTCCTCCCTGACCACCTCCAAGACCTCTGCCCCTGCCCAGCTCTGTCCTGGTGGTCCCCACACCTGCTGGTTCCTCATCCCCCTTCAGGGAAGCCACCCTGCAGGTCTTCCAGCCCAGGGTTCTCTATGCAACCTCAGCATCCCTGTACAGGGCTGACTCTCTCAAACAGCCTTCACATTGTTTTCCACATCCTCAGTATACCCACAAATAACCTAACCTGCCTCCAACAGGGCCTTCTGCCACGATCACAACATCTGTCCTGTTCAGTGGCCACACACAGCTGTTAAAGAACATCCAACTCTGTGATTCTAATTAATGCAAATTTAGATGGCCCTGTGTGGCTAGTGGCTGCTATACTGGACAGTGTGGTCCCAAAAGATAAAGCCTAAAATAATAACAATAATAAAAATAACCACCATGGACCATAATCACATCTGAGAAAAATTAACAATACCTTTAAGAGCAACTATTCAGCCAGCACTCAAGTAATGACTTTCTTTTTGGGTTTTCTCAGGTGGCCGATGTGACCTGAAGCCCATCTGCTCTTCTTCCAGCTTTCCCCTAAAATTACAATCCCCAAGAAACCAAATGGTGGCCATTTGACTGCTCTGCCTGGGTTTGGCCCTGCAGTGCGTGGGGTCTCCCAGGAGTGGTGGGGATTAGAGGGAGGGTGGTGGTGAGAGCAACATGGGTTTTGATTTGGGGGTAGTCCTTCCTTTGAGTGGGGCTGTGGGCTCTCACCAATGGCAGGGGGTAGGAGTGGCGACATATTACTTCACACTTACAAGAAAGCTGCAGAGAGAATGCCAGGTTGTGCCCCAAATCCAAATCTTCTTGTTTATATTTCACCCCTTTTTATCACTTGCCCCCTTTATAACGCTGTATGTGCCCATGAAATGGGGAGCAGGAAGCGGAAGGGCAGAGCCCCATGCTCCCCACCCAGACAAGCAGATCTGAGTCTGGAGAGGGAATGGAGGCCACATTCCACCCTTTCTAAGAGAAGGGGGCCCCCAGCCCAAAACTTCCTGAACTCCCAGGGTACCGACTCCCAACCCTGGGGCTTCCCTAGTGGGGGGAGCCGGCTCTCAGATGAAGCGTCCCAACAAAGAAGGAATAATTCAGAGAACTGGGGTCCCTTAGCTGCAGAAGTTGGCCCATCTGCTCCCTCCTGTGAATTTCAGATCCAAAACCGCAGTGATAACAGAAAGACCCCCTCTTGCTCCAGTCTCAAGTGGAACCTATGAGGTATCCAAGGGTGGGGATGGGAGAATCTGCACCCTCCCACTGTCAAATATGAGCTCAGAGGCCAACCTGCAACCTCCCTGCAAGAGACAAACACGAACACAAAACATGGACCAAACTCACGGATTCAGGATTTATCCCAGAAACAGAGAAGCATATCTAAGACAGCAACCTCCACACACCCGCAAGGAAATTACAGAGCACACAGTTCTTTGGAAGAAAGATGAGATTTCAGAGAGAAAGAGAGGAACCAGGAAAAACTAAGAAAAGGAGTTCATGCAATGAATTTACAGATTTTAAAAAGTAGCATCAATGGAAGCGAAGGCAGAACAGATGGAGCAGAAAAGGTGATTAATGAAGAGGGAAAGTTCTGTAAATGCCCCTAAACACAAGGGAAAAGGAATTCTGAGACAATGGACATGAAGATCTAAATGAGACAACAGGAGACCCAACATTGGAGAGCTGGCATCCCCGGAGGGAACAGAAAAAACACCCCAAACTAGAGTGGAGGACATAGCTGACCAAGAACTTCTTATTTATTTATTTATTTACTTAAATTGTCGTTCAAGTACAATTTGACCAAGCATTTCTGAGACAGAGATCTTAGGGGTCACTGGCAACCTCCGAAAATGAATAAAAAACCATGCAAGATTAAGATAAACATATGCCCATTCACTGAGTAGCATGAGAGGACAATTGCATGCAACCTGCACTGCACAGGTGAAGGTGGGAAAGTTGGTGGTGGCCAAGGATTCTACTCCCAACTGCCACATGCAAGGCAAACACCACCATGTTCCCTTGCTGGAAATCATCCCTGAAGATACACTCCAGACTGGG